TATTGGCTATTTTCGTAATTCTGCTTTAATGACCTATCTTGTTAAAGACCAGCCTAACACCACAAAATTACTTAAGTAGCAAGCTAAATCACTTCTAGCTAGCTATTTCTAGTTGGTGTCGTATTAATGTTAGTAAATCCTAACTCTTTTTCGTTATAGACTTCCATATAGGTGTGACCAGAGCCTGAATTGGTACCTTTAGACATACAGGAGTAAGTTATATGCTCTACGTCGAGTAGCCTTCTATAGTCATTATACCGATACCAGAGATACTTCCAATTCCAGTTAAGACATGATCCTTTACCACAGCCCATAGTTGTGTATCACCACTTCTCTCATTACTCTAGTTTTGGTAGTATAGTATCACCCTTTCAAGCAAGTGCCCAACACCATTCCACATTAGAACTTATGCGCACGATTCATTGATCATCCTTCCAAGCAAGTACCCCACAAGTTGGGTGTAGAGATGTTGATATTGCCGAATATAGAGGTGGTAGGATGTTGATATTGCCCCGGGACACCCCAACTCAAGGACTTACACACGCAATCTTCTACTACCTAAACCTTCTGTGACACCGCTATCACACGTAATACCTTCACTCCACAACCTGGTCTCTTTCCGGAAACTTTTTATTCTGGTTTTGTACTGTACTTGAACTTTCTACAAAGTTTCGTATCCGATTATGGCCCCCATAGGTTACAGAAACAAATTATTTAATTTGCCTCCAGCCCAACTCGAACCGTTGACCTTATCTGTGGGGGTTTGGGAGCTTAACCAATAAGCTATAGGACCCAAACCCCTTTTCTTTTTTTTTGTTCTTTTAATTTTTTAGAATGATCTTAAAAAGAATGGTCATTTATACTTTTTTTTCTTTGTTCTTTTAATTTTATGTGACCGAGTGGTCATTTATACATATTTTTTTTTGTTTTAATTTTATGTTTATTTTATTTTCAAATGATCTTAAGAAGAATGGTTGTTTATATATTTTTTTTTTTGTTCTTTTAATTTTATGTTTATTTTATTTTAAAATAACCTTAAGACCGAGTGGTCATTTTTTTTTGTTTTAATTTTATGTTTATTTTATTTTTGAATGATCTTAAGAAGAATGGTCTTTTTTTTTGTTCTTTTAATCTTATGTTTTTTATTTTATTTTAGAATGATCTTAAGACAGATGGTCGTTTATATAAATTCTGGAATGATTATTATTCGGTACATATAAATAATTATTTTGTTGAAATTTATAAAAACTCGTTTTAACATAAAATTACTATTATTATGATTCTTTTTGCAGAGTATGAATAATTACGATGTAAGTTGCACAGAAGAATCCAATATTAATTATGATGGCATGAATCGTAACGAAAACGAAATTATGTATTCGGATTGCATTGAAAACGAGATTATGTATTCGAATTATATTGAACTAAAAAAAACGATTACAACATTGGAATCGGAAAACCAGGAATATGCAAGAGCGAATATTGTATTAGCTGATCTGTTAGATGATATGATTAAAGAAAAACAATACTTAATGAATAGAATATCAACTTTAGAAAAAGAATTGGTTTTTGCGCTATCTAGAAATTGTAATAAATAAATTTTTAAACTATGACTATTTTTATACTTTTATACTTTTAATGTTATACGTATCAATGTTACAGTTTTAAAGTCTTTTTTTTTTTTTAATAAGATTCTACTAATATTGCCAATTTACGTGATATAAAAATTCATCTGTCCTAACAAATCACCTAAGCATTGTCTGTACGTAGAATTTTGGGATTATGTATAAACAATTTAAAAGGGATATACGTATAATATTTTATACATATATATTATTCTGAAGCAAGGTGCCGCCAAGGGAAAATAACATATTGTGATTGGGTTAAATATAACGGACACAATCCCCTAAAAATACTGAAATAGACAAGAAATAAACTTGAAGTCCCGATGACAGGTTTTTAGTGATACAATAAAATTTTATTTTAAAAATAAATGCTTACAATTCGTGAGAAAAATTTACTAATAACTGGAAAGCGTACCAGGATAATATGCACCAATTAACGTTAACCAGATTTATAATGCAAAGTTCATTGGAGATATGCAAATTTTTGACAAACATGCAAAAGCATATTTTATATACGTAGGATTTAGGTTTCACACTAGAAATATTTTTTGAAATAAAAATCGAACAGATCATCTTCATATGAAAAGTCTTAATATATATCAGTTGGTAGTTGGTAAATTGATTACTTTTTCAACTCGAACAAATCAATTTTGAAGTGGTCAAAGATTAAATCGACAATTATCTAAGAAAATAAATTAGTTATTGGAATTGTTTTTCATCACCTCAAATTAATATAAGACTTAAATAGCATTAACTTCTTAGGCATCGCACTAACTATCGATAGTATGGTTTTATACTGTAACACATTTCGATTCAAACATACTTTATTAAAAAAAAAATTGAGAAATGTCTTGTGATTATGATCAGAATCGAAGAATTAAACAACTAAGTCTAACATATTAGCTGAGTACAAAATTCAATGTTTGCATTTGCGGAGCGCATATTTTTAATATCGAGCAAACACATGATTGTATCTGTTTTAATGATTGAAAGTCAAATTAATTTCGTACGTACAGTATATTTTTTCAGTTCCTGTGTCAACCCCTGTTTGAGTCAGTAACAATTAATATCGATATATAGTAAATTGTTAAATTGCACAAAAAAATAAAAAGAATATTTCATATTGTCGAATATTTTCATAGCCATCTATAAGTTTGATTAGTATCTATAAGCTTGAGAGTTTTAATAAAGCTATACTGAATGAATCTTCAGATCACTGAGTCATGATATTTACAATTAACTTTTATATAAAATACAAATTTATTTAAAGTCAGTATTACAAAATTCAAAATATAATATTATTGTAAATCTCTAATATGCAAAAGTAAAATCGCTATATATAGAAAAATCGGATACAAAGAGTTTTTTTTTTATTTTGTACAATATACATCACACACCACACGAAAAATAATAGTTTTATTGATATGGCAAAAAAAAATACATAAGTTTTCTGTATCAGAAGTTACAATGTAACTTTTTTTGCATATTTCTTTGGAAACTGCTTTCTGATGAATGAAGCAATATAGATTGATACAATGTTAAGACCAATTAAAATTGGTTTTAACATATGAAATAAACCCGGCTTCGACCTCCATTTCGTAGAAATGTTTTCTACAAAACGTAACACATCTCCACTGTTACACGGCCTTACTGGAAGTTTAGTATAGCATAGATGATAAAGGTGATAATTGTCATCTCGATACATTTAAAGTTGATTGCATAGGCATAGAGGTTGATGTTGCGACTCCCATGTGACCACCATATACAGGAACCATTTGTTGTTGTGAAGGAGGAGGGGGAGGAGGTGGTTGTTGTTGTTGTGGAACATCTTGTTCTGGTTCAGGTGATCTCTGTTTTTTACGACGATTCGGTGTTTGACCATTTTCATAACGTTGACGTTTTTTTATAACGTCTGTTTTCATCGACAACGGACGTCGTTCATGATGTAATTTGAAGCTAATATAAGAATAATAATAATAATATAAGTAATTATATATATAAATAAAATTATCATTAAATATTAATTTTATATAAATAAATACTTACTATAAACCACAAGCATTACAAAGTGTTTGACCTTCTTCGTCTCTTCGCCACAAAGGTGTTGTCATTGTGTTACAATTTGAACACACAGGTTGGGCAGCTTCATCGTCACGTGCATCTTTGCGCACTATATGGGGCTTCATGGTTTTTGGTCTATCCATTTTGTGCAGTTTAAGGCTATTTATGAATTAGAGAAATCAAGGTCAACTCTGATCTGATATCCATGCATTACTATGTGAGTTAATATTTGTTTTTTTTTTTTCCTTTTATGTGTTACGTGACAAAAATAAAAGTAAATACTTACTATAAACCACACGCATTACATAAAAGTTCATCA